GGGTAAAATAGGATTTTTAACAAAAATCACACAGTTTCTTTTCCTTTTTAAATTATTTTTATTGTTTTTATTAAAAGATCAGCCAAAAAAAACAAGACTTCCTGGTGCGCTTTTATTTTTGAAATACTTACCGGAAGTACAACATTCTCTCCTTCCGTTTCATTTGACGCCGACGAAAGCCGACGTCCGTCGTAACCTCGGGGGTTCAAGGGAGAAATTATGATTACCAAGCAGCCGCAGGAGGTACGAGGACCGCAAACCGGGCCCGGAGCACCCTTCTGGGAGCCTGTCGGTGAGCCGTGAGCATGTCACCGCTCCGGCCTCTTCCTCGTCCCAGCCTCGCCGACACTCATCATCATACCCCACATCCACCGGCAAGATGTATTTCAACCGAAGAGCCAAGAAGATACACAGCGAGGGAGGTAAGAGATCCCACCATCCACACGAATCCATCGATTGTCGGCCCGGTCGGTTGGGGTTCATTCGGCTCGACATTTTGTGGTGTCATTCATTCCCAGGCTCCGTCACTTCAGAGAACACTGCGGCCTGTAAACGAACCGTTGTGTGATTAGCATAATGAAACGGAGTTCTAATTGTCACGGACTGCAGCGTTCAGTTCATGTTGAGCCACAATTCTCCTTCAACAGTTACAGTTATGTTTTCTTTTTCTTGGCATAAACATTTAGATATGCAAGGACACGCAGGGGAAGTCTGCTTTTTATCTTCTAGTCTAGACTGATATTTTTATGTGGCAAAGATATATGACCTCTGGATAGAATAAAGTACCTCACGACTGGGATAATTGCACTTCATGATCTCTAACACAATACTGACATTATATAATATAGTTGCACCTGGATTTTTATTATTTAACAGTTAAATTGGGTTGTTTATAAATCCATTTTCAAGAGATGATTATCATACGTTTTGTATTAATCATGTTTTCAAGGTTGTTTATAACCAAAAATATCTATAAGTTGTCTGGATTGGGTCATTTTGTGCTCCTATGTCCAAAGCAAGCATCTGCAGAACCAATCTAATAGCATCCTATTAGCTGCAGACCTCCTGACCCAGCCTTCCTTCACCTTAAGGCCCTCCATAACCTTTCTTATTTATTTGAACATGTGCGTGCATTGGATGATTTCACATAGGGCGAACAGATTTTTAATTGAATCATTTTGAAAATAAAGAGCATGCATTTGTCCCTTTCAGTGTTTTTAATGACAACTGACAGGATGTTTTGTTTTCTTTGATACTACTGTTTCTTGCAGGTTCCAGAAATAGAWAGCAGGACAAATTGTGCACACATATGTGTCAGCTGGGCCATTCATGACTRTAGTCAGAATTTATTTAGTTAGTTAAAAAAGGAAAAAGAAAAAAAATCACTGGATCTTTTGACTCTTAAGACTTTTTTTTATCAGAAAAAAATTCTCATTTGATGAGAAAAAATAGATAAATACTGCTGTCACAAATAGAATATTTTGTGTCAGCCACTGACCCTGTTTCAAGTGTATTTTTTTATATGCTTTAAAAGCTTCACTGCAAATACTTTAAAGTTAAAGCATACTGTATCATAAACTGGAGTACTGGGTTCTTGATGTTGTCTCTACCTTTAATCTCTTGCAGCCTGACCTCCCGGCGCTTTGCTCCAATTAGCAAGCTGCCACATCTCAGGTGCTCACTACGTCTGCAGTCGGTCACGTTTATGCCCAATTTTCAGGAGCAGACCTAAAATTTTATTTAGCATAAACATGTTTGTAATAGTGACTGCTTTTATCTTTTTAAGGTGAGCATTAAAACAATCCCATAAAGCAACACTGGTTCAGAAAGCCTGATGGATACGACTATCAGATTGATGTAACTTTTTATTAAGAAAAGTTCACGTCTTGTATCATTGTTGGTGTGTCTAATTTTACATGAGTCGTGCGTATCGGCCAGCTGTCAGCTCTGTTTTGCTGAGATAATGACTTGTCATGCCTGGCTTCATGCTGAAGATGCTGTTTGGGAGGGATTTGAGAAATTACAGAAACTCTATATTTACACCTGCAGGCCACAAGGGGGCACTCCTGGGCAGGTTAAAGTCCCCTTCTCAGCCACATCTTCCATTTGAATCTCATGTTACTGTAAATGTAAACACACATTCAGACACATTTACAGTTCAGTCACTGTCATCTACATGTATAATGACTTGTTGTCTTGTGTGTTGTTGTTTTGTTTTGTGTTTTTCCTCAATGCGGCTACTTGTGGCACCCACAGAGCAGTTAGTGTTGACCACCATTAGGCAGGAGGCTTCTGAGCTGCAGGACCAGGGTGCCAGCGCTACCATGTGTGCCCGCCTCACAGACAGGTTTGACAAAAGTGAGTTTGCTCAAACTAGGCTGGATGATGCCCCCCTTTTTTTTTTTTGTCCGGAGCCCCTAAAAGGTGCATGAAGGAGCGCCAAAACCCCTGGCCCTCAAGAGCTACAATTTCTGGTTCTGGTTTACAGCAGAACAGGTGAATACCGATCGTTAGAATAAACTGTAGCTCATTGGGGCCTGGAGTGATGAACGCTGGACAGGATTTCACCTCCTCCCTGCATGTGCTCGTAGGCAGTAGTGATACGTACACCAGAACATGCTGGTTGAAGACGGATAAATACAAACTCACTTCTGAAAAGGTTGGAAAGTTGTGTAAAAATCTAAAAAAATAAAATATATTTAAAAAGGGCAAATCACAGTGATTAACAACTCTTATGCACCCACGCTTTGATCACAAGGGAACATAGTAAACATTTTAAATGTTGAAACTATAAAGTTGTGAAACTCTTATTGACAAATTGGGGTCATTTTAAATGTTTTGTCAGAAACACTTCACCAAAATGATATGACAGTATTATATTTACTAAGGCTGCACAATACTGGGAAAAACTGATGTGATTTTTTTTCTAACCCTGATATACAGTACTGTTTTGTCTGTAATTATTATCTTTTATTGTGCTGAACACATGCTTCTTCGATCATGTATAAAGGTGAATTGCATTTTACCACTATCTCATTCCGTCATGCTTTAATAGTAGCATTCACGCTAACTGTTTTTAAGCTCTTTTCCTCCAGTATTCTGCGAATTTGCTCATCTTTCTCGTTTTTGTCAAGTTCTCTTCATCTTCCTCCACAACTCAGGAATTCACCAACACTTCTCCGAAACATTGCCATTATTGCCCCGGAAGTTTCACAACAAAATGAAAGTTTTAGCTTATTTATTTTATTTTAGTTTTTTTACACAAAGCCGTTTCGCTTCCGCCTGCAGAAGAAACCCGTCAAAATAAAAGCTGTAACACGTGACCGTTTAGTGCTTTAGTTCCTAGATGACTCGTTAATTTAATTTGTCTCGTACATCGCAGGACCTGCAGTGTGACTATTGCGCAMCTGAACTTTGCAATGACGATGCTCAAATGATGTATCGTGCAGCTTTAATCTTTTCCACTGTAAAACATCCCATCTTTTTTAAAAACAGTAAACCTGTAAGAAAGTAAAGATTTTTTGGAGGGAAACATTGTCCCGTTCTTGCTGTAGGATTATAGCTGTGCAATAGTCCTAATACCTTTTTTGATATCATTTTTTTTCTGAAATTTTCTGCATTTAAAGATGCCTTTCTAGTTGTGTAAGCTGCTCGTGCCATATAGGCAYTAATGCACCCCTATTACCATCAGATAGGCAGCTTTTCCAGACTGTAGAAATATTTTGGCAAAATTATGACGTGCAGATGATGGGATTTTCAAAGTATTGTAATTTTTTTTGAACACATCATATTACAAATAAAATTTCGGCAAATGAAATTAAAACAATACAATTAAAAAATGAAAGGTGAAAAGGCGTGGGTAGAAGTATAAACTTATCAAAACCCACCCCTTCTCCAGCAACTTCAAAAATATATATTTCTCATCTATTCAATAACAACAACAACAACAAAATTATAACATTGACACTAACAAAGCTGTGCAACAACAACAACACAATACATCAAGACAGTTCCTCATATTTTGTGTAAACATTTCCTTATACAAAAGTTTAAATTGTTTAATGTTTGGACATTGGGCCTCATGCAAGAACATGTTCGTATTCTTATCCTAAATTTCTCGTACTTTTGTTCGTACAAAGGGTTCGTACGAACATGTCACGTCAGATTCAACAAACTCTTCTATCTTCAGGAAAMGTGCGTAAATGAGCTGCGTAAATTCCACCTGTTCGTATCCAGCTGCTCGTGCACGCGAGAGGAGATTAGCATAAATACCACCCCAAAAACACCATATAAGGCTATGTTTCCTGCCTCAGATACAAGGAAGTGTCCATTCATGAAAATGACAGTGATAATTAAAAAGAGGAACTTTACGAGTTCAGAGATTGAAGTCCGTCTGTCAGAGATCCAGAAAAGAAAATCTGTCATTTTTAGCAGGTCAGCTGTGGAATAAAAAGAGCTGCTAAAAGTATAAACAACTGTGTTAAATCATTTTCATTTGTTCAGAAGCCGCAGCGCTGCGCACTGTACCCCCACCCCCCGCGCCCGCGCACGCCGCGCGGTCGCAGGTGGTATCAGATGTGGGTTTGAAATAAGCATTTTAAAATGTTTTCAAAATAAGTCTGGCACTTTGGAGAAAATCCAGGACTCACTGGAGGGATTGTGTATCCCCTCTGGCCTGGGAACGTCTCAGAGTCCCCCAGTACGAGCTGGAAGGTGTCGCTGGGGAGAGCGGGGTCTTTCTGCTGCCCCCCCGCACACGATAGCGGATAAGCCAGACGGACAATTTATATTGTTAGTCTAAATTATTACATTTAAAATTATAACTCTAATTCAAGCAGAATAGCCTATTGTCAACATAATTATGGAGTGTGATTTATTTTCAACTCAAAATATCTTCAAACTAACGAAATATAAAGTTATTAGTGAAGAAAACCCATCTGGATAACAGCAGACTGACTGCTCGTAAAATATACGACAGGTCTGGACCACTCGTGAATTTTGTTCGTATCTGAAAAAAATCTTAGAATACGAAAACATTGGTGAATGCCACAAATTCTCCTAAATCACTCGTACGCACAACTTAAGAACAAATCTGTGCRTACGAACGGTTCTTGCATGAGGCCCATTGTTTTAATTCCACATTCAAACTGTTCCACAGTTTCACACCACAAACTGAAAATTGTCATTGAAGATGATGATGAAGATGATGAAGCAGCCTCTCTAAAATGCAGTCCTCTTACTGACCTTAATTAACTTAATTAGTTGCAAAATTCTCCACCAGATGTTTTTTTATATATMTACGTACCACTTACTCTTACAGCCTTTKGTTAACGTCACAACTTTTCAACACGTTGCCTTAAAAAAAGTATGTTCTTAGTTCAAACATTTGATGTTAACTAGTTCCAGTATGAATAAAAAGTGGGTTTGAGATTTTCAAATCAGTGCATTCTTTTTTTATTTATTTTATTTTTTTTATTTTACACAACATTCCAACTTTTCTAGAGTTGTACGAGTAAACTTTCAGTACGAACATGCATGCCTTAAAAACACGTGCATGTCTGCGTGCGGCATGTGAGGAGGAACACTGCATGGAGAACGGGGGAGAAGCTGCATGTTGGTGTCATTCACCTTCTCTGGCATTAAGGTATGTGCCTTCACCTGGCTGTGTGTGTAAGTGCAGCTAGTGTTGATCAGTGTATTGTTTTTCCAGTATGCTGATGGGTACAATTAGTGTAATTTCCGTTGGAGTGCATGTGTGTCATGCCTTTAGGATTAACAGGTTATGGATTAGCAGCAGGTGGAGTTGCAGAGCAGACACTGAAAGGATTATCGTGCTCGTTCACTCCATGCGAAAGAGGCTTTCCCGTCGTTACTTCCTACTCTGGTACGGTGGCAAATGGACCTACAGGGATCATTGGTAACCATGTTAACCAGGATCTGGAAATAGGGCCTGCTGGTCGCCTACGAGACCAAGGCCACAATGGGACGAAAGGGTCACCAAGGCAGACGAAGCTCTGTTGGTAACGTCTCCCTGTGCTCAGTTGTTGAAGGCATTACAATAGTTTACATTTTGGTGCCTTTGCTTGATAAGTTTGTCTTGTTTAAATGTTAGGACTCTTCTTTTGTCCTAAATGTTCAGATGAACATTTTGTTATAAAAACCATAATAGAAGATTTGATGTGGAAAATGAAGCTTAGAAAAATGTTGATTTTAATCCACATTTTTACAGGAGATGTGTTTCTCATCATTCGCTTGAGAACGAGTGATTTTGTAAAGAGTGAGGCAGGTCAAGAGGATGGCTGTGCTTTAGCTTTTAGCTCGAGAACACTTAAGCAGGACCTGTAGCGGTCAAAAGATTAGAACCGCCCTGCTGTGTCTGAGTCAAAGGCTTTGTGTTAAAAGCTCTGATTTGCTATGCATATCCAGGTGGAACTTAAACAGCTTTGACCAATTCTCACTGATAAAACCAAGTGTGGCTCGTGGAGGGATTTAACATCTGGGCTAAGGTTGGGAGATATTTGCAAAAAAATTAATCACGAATAATTGTGGGCATTTAGCCGATAACTATTAATATGATGATTAGTAAATGACAATACCACTTGTATATTTTTAAATCTAAATCCATTAAACTATGTTTTATAACTGTACTTGAAAATCATCCATATAACTAACTTCTTCATTTTAACAGGTTAAATTAGAAAGCTGTAATGCAATATTTCACATGTGCGCACTTCATAGAGTGCATTAAGCACAAAAACACATCATCACATGGCACTCACTGCAGTAATTGCAAAGTGGCAAATATTAATTGTTGACAGCTTTTCTGACGATTTAATTTCACATGAAACAATTTTGCCCAACTCTAATCTGGACGTAATTTAAAGGGGCAATATCATGTAAAATCAACTTTTTTGAGTTTTATATCGTGTTATAATGTTATGCTCTCATAAAAAAAGCATGCCTAAAGCCTTGCTTTGACTTATTCATGCATGTTTGAGAAATCCTGCAGCGTTTTTAGGAAGCCATGCTGAGGAGCAAAACGACAGGTGGGGACCAGAAACGCCCCTGGGACGTGTCTTTAAGCCGAACTTCCTCATGGCAGAGCGTACCCCCTCCCCCCTCCCCACACACCCCGCCCATGACTCCTGCAGGCTCTCGGGTGAAAGTGAAAGTGAAACTTAAGCAGTCTGCTGAGCTCCACTACTTCTCACTCAGTGAAGCTCTTTTCAGATTAAACATACCTTTGAGGAAATGTATATTCAGATGCCAAGTGAGCTGCATCATGCCCCCCCACCCTCGCA